GATACACACTTGGATATCCATAAAATATATATAGTATTAGGTGTATTCAAATACTATTTTTTTCTATAAATATTGTTTTCAAGAAATAGTTATATATCAATATTGTTGTTATTATAGCATTGTTAATAATTATGATTGTATTGTGCTTAGGGGGTAGTGTGTGATTGTATTTAATAATAGTATCATTATAATAGTGTTTTTTGTATGGTTTTATTTTTTTTATTTTTTTTTTTTATTTTTTTTTTTTCTCTTATCACATTTGTTTTTTTACTTTCAATTAAATTTATTTCCCAATTTTATTAAATAATATTTATTTATCACTTTTATTTCATTTGGTATTTATTATAATAACTAAAATCGATTTTTTTTTAGTTATTCAATCATTTCAAAAATTATAAAAATAATAAGTTCAATAATTTCAAAATCTCAGTATGTCTCATTTATATTATTTTAAAATTTAATTAATTAAAATAACAGTTATTTTTGGGTTTTATTATTTAATTTTTTTTTTTTTTTTTTTTTTTCTTTTTTTCATATTATTTTTTTTATCTTTTTATTTTTTTATTTCTTTATTTTTTTTCATATTATTTTTGTAAAATTAATTTGTATTTTTATCGATAAAAAATAATAAAAAATAATAAAAAATAAATAAAAAAAAACTGTATAAAATACTTTTTAGGAAATAAATTAAAAAAATTAAAAAAAAAAAGGTAGATTTCATTTAAATTATTTTATTTTTAATTTATTTATTTTTTTTATTTTATTTATTAAAGCCTTTTTTTTACTAGTTCAATCTAGCCCAAGATTTTACCATTTTTAGAAAATACAAATTAAAAAATCGACCTTTTGGTTTTTACTAGTTAGTTTTTTTTTTTTTTTTTAAAAAAAGTTAAAGTTTTTTTATTATATCAATTATTATTGTTAAAACATTGTTTTTTGTTTTTTTTGGAACTAGAATAAAAATAAAAAAAAAACAGTAGCAATAGTTTGTTATAATAAATAATAAAATAGTAAAGCAATAATAATAAAAATAATAATAAAATAATAATAAAAATATAATAACGTATCCATTTACATATCACAAATAGTTTTTCTTTTAAAATAAATAAATACATAACAACAATTTTCAAATAATTAAAATTTAAAAAAAAAATTTAAAAATAATTTAAAAAATTTAAAAAAAATAATTTTTTTTATCAACCGATAAAATATTATAATAATTTTTATTACAACACCAATATTTATAACATTTATATGATTTTTCGTTTTATTTTAAATAGTTTGTTTGGCTTCATTTCTATTATTTTATTATTATTTTTTTTTAAAAATATTTTAAATTTAAATTAATTTTTATAAAAAACTGTCATTTAGTTTTAAGTGAATATTTAAAATTTAAAATTTTTTGCCCCATTTTTTATATTTATTCAGCTTACACAGTAATACATATTATTCATTGTGCGTATTTTATATAAATAAAAATAATTTTTTATTACTAATTTTATCAATAATAATCAAAAAGTTAAAAAACTTTTTTTTTTTATGTAAATAAATAAAAAATAATTTTTAATAATAACAAACAAAATTTCACTTTTTTTTTTGTTTTTTTTTATAACGATATAACCTATACATTTTTCTTTATAATAATAAAAATTAATTTTTTTATTGTGTTTTATTTTTAATAATAATTTTTTTTTTTTTTAAAAACATAATAAAATTTATTTATAAATTTTATTAATTTACATATATAAAACAAAATAATAATCAAAAAAATAAAAAATATATTTAAAAAATCCAATACTAATAATATTAATAGTAATATGGGAAATTGTTGTTCATCATCGAAAAGAACAAATGGATATGATTCACATTCAACTCCATCCGAAGATCCAAACAAAATAATAGACGAAAGCGATAGTCATCATCATCATCACCTTTTCCACCACCATCATAAAAGACATTCTGGTAATGAGATGAAGCCAGTATACCCAGAAAATAAAAGAAATTCATTAAAGTCATCAACAGGTTATCATCATAAAGTTGTAGACGAAGACAGGGAAGATTTAATTTCGGCATCTGTGCATCAAAAAGACCCATATGAATTAGTTCAATCTCCCCCAACAAACATAATAAATAATAATATAAGCAATGGTGAACATCAATCTCAATATCCAAAATCCTATCCACATACACACAGCAGACAACTTTCAACTGAAAAAGTAGGTAGTTTCGAGCCACAATTTAAAACCCCAATAACATCAATACCACAACATATGAGAATGGAAGGTTTCCAAAGAGTAAAACATAATTCAACTTCTTCATTATATATAAAAAGTACATTATCAACACCTGATAATGATGAAATTTTAAGATGGTAAGTGGAAATTTTTTTATTATTAAAAGAAATATTGTTCATTAATTAATTTTTTTTTTTTAACAGTATGGCAAATGCTTTATTATATCATATCGAGAGAGGCGCACAATTACCCCAAAAAACTGTTGAAATTTTTAGCGAAGAAAAATATCCAATTACAGTAAGTTATAACTTTTAAAATATATAATTTGGCTTTATATTAACATGTCAAATTTTTATTTTAGAAAAATAAAGCAGATTTAAGAACAAATCCTACAGTAGATACCATTTATAGATTTATTAGGGATATATTTAAGGCCGAAAAATTAGACCCAGAATGCGCAATTATGTGTTTAGCTTATATTGAAAGAATTATTACTTTTACAGGAATTACTTTAAGTGCACTTAGTTGGAGAAGAATTACATTGTCAGCATTAATTTTAGCCTCTAAAGTTTGGGAAGATCAATCAGTTTGGAATGTTGACTTCCTTCCAGTATTTGATAATCTTACAGCCGCCGATTTAAACAATTTAGAAAGACAGTTTTTAGCTATGCTCCAATATAATGTTAGTCTTACTGCAAGTGTATATGCTAAGTACTACTTTGAACTTAGAAACTTTTCAAAATTAGATTCAAACCAATTTCCTCTTAAACCTTTGGATAAATCAGGTGTTAGAAGACTGGAAGATTATTCTAAAGCATCGGAATATAGAGTGAAACCATTTAAAAGAAGCGCAAGTGTTGATCAAATTAATCCTCCAGAAATTCATACAAGATTGGTTATAAATTAAAATAATATAACAATAGTATTTAGTAAAAAATCAACAACAATAATAATAATATAATATTTATATATACATTTAAAAAAAAAAAAGAATTTTTTTTTTTTTAGAATTTAAAAAACAAAAAAAAAAAAATTTAGATATATAGCCAATATATATTTAATATTTATGTAAATAGCCCAAATAAAATAAAACTTTTTAAAAAAATAAATATTTAATAAAAACTTAAAAATTTAAGTTTATTTGTTTACAAAATTTATAAATATTTGTTTTATTTGTATTTATATATTTTATAAAAAGGAAAAAATAGTTAATTATATTGAATAGGGGTATTCTATTGGATTAAGTTTAAAATCGGTACGTGAAACAGGGCAAATATATGAAAATTGATAGCATTTTGGATGAACAATTGTGCCATTTGGGAAATATACAAAGACACGATCACCTATAGGTTTGGAGCAAACATTACATCTTTTATCGGTACCAATTAAAACACTAGCAGAGGAAATTTTTAAGAACTCAGCTCTAGTTTGAATATTTAAACATTTTTGGAGATTGCAAACAATTTTAGATTCTCTTTGTTGGCTAATTGAAAAGTTAAAGCTTTTGGCTAAATAATTATCGACTGCATGGATTGGAATTGAGTTTGGTAATAATTGTATAACTTTAATTGGATCCATTTCGTTGTAGTAGTTGTTTAAAAACTCTATTATAAATTTTGGTAACATGGTACCATTTTTTTGAGAATCTTTAATCATAGAGTTTACTAATTGGTTATTTATCTTAACTGCTTGTTCTTTGAAGCTAAGGTAGGTTTTTAGTAAACATAAAAATAGTTCTTGTCTCTTTGGATCGTATAGTGATGCTTTTGGTAAATTTTTTTGAAATTCTGGATTTATATTTGATGGAGAGGTACCTTGTTGTTGAAACATGCTATATGAGTTTGGGGATGATGATTGACCACCACTTAGATTTGTTGATAGTCTAACTGATTGTCTATATGTACTTTGGGCTGATTGGAGAGCTGGTGAATTACTATTACTGGTTGATGGTGAAACGCCGGGTGGGGAAGCAACATTTGATAAACTAAATTGTGGGTCGAATGAAACACATATATATTCAGCTTTTTTAAAGTCATTTAATTTCCAAATTATAATATTAAACATCATTTCATATTGACCAATTCTGAGATATAGGATAACCAATTCTTCATAGAGCAAACTATTACGGATACGGTTTAAAAGGGTAGAGGCATTATAACAATTTGAATACTCCAAAAGATCTATTAGTTTCAATCTATCTTCATTTGGTTCTGGAGTATCTACTCTACCTTGAGCGGTTGATAAATCTGGACTATTATTGAAAACTTGGTCGATGTATGAGGTGGCTAAACGAGTATGTAAATAATCTTGCTTATTGTCTTCTTGAAAGATTAAATATTCTAAATATTGCTGATATAGTTTTTCACCAAATGGTAAAAGAAATTCAATTACATCGTCTGCAGCCAAACTATCTTTTCTTTTCTTTAGGAATATACGCATTGCAGTTTCTGGTGATTTTTTTAAGAGGAATGGAGCAAATTCCCAAATTAATTCTTTTGATGGCTCTGGTAAAATATCGTTGTTTTTAGATTCTAATAATGAAACTGAATCCTCTATACCGTCTGAGTTGAAAGGATCACCTAATTCTTTAATTGATAGTTTATTCCATAATAATAATGCCTTTCTATATTTTTCAGTATATTGAAAAATAATGCCTAAATGTTTGAAAAGTTTATTTCCATTTAACCATTCTTCAATATCTTGAACAAAAAATTGATTATTGATATTAATTGGTTGTTGCTGTGGTTGCTGTTGTTGATTTAAATTGTAATCTCTACTTTGAGATCTTTGATGTTGATATTGTTGCTGTTGTTGCTGTTCTATTTGTTGATTGGTATTTATAATTGTTAATCTTGATCTTGTTAATAGTACCATGAATTTTGAAATATTGTTTGTTTGGGCATATAGTTTTAATAAAATTGTGGTGATGTCTTTATTTTCGTCTGAAATTTTTCCTGCTGGGTCTTTTATTAGCTTATTTAAATGATTTTCTAAATAAATTGTTAAATTTTCTTTGGCTTCAGTTATTAAAGATTCTTTTTCTGATTGAGATAGACTATTTTGTTCGTTGATAAGTTTGAAAATATCATTTGGGTCATATAGTGATCTATAGTTGGTTTGATAAGGCATATAAGTTGGGAAAAATGAAATAATTGAACGATGATCCACCATTGTTGCTAATGATAAATATTTGAAAGAGCTTTGAAACTTGAATTTAAAGAATTCGGATAATGCCACTTTTTCATAGACTTTACTTAGACGTTGCTTATGAAGTAGTTCTTCTTTTTTTGGATCGTATGTATCTTCAAATTCTGATCTTTCTCTCTTGAAGAAAATTTCAAATAAACGAATTGCCTCTTCATTTTCTCCTTTTGTGACTAAAGTATTTACAATATCATCTATATTTCCTAAATGTAAACAATAAACTGCATTTGGATTGCTACTATAGAGAACAATAAAATCTTTACCATCACCTCTACCCTCAAAAACTTGATTGAATTGAATCTGACCACTGGCTTTACCATTATTGGATTGTGAAATGGTATTTAGCTCTTGAATTGAATGTTGGTCCTTCATATCGTGAATTAAAATGTTTTTATTTTGTGTTAAAGATATTAAGTATGGTTCTATATAGGCCATTGAAATTGGATGAGAGTCCCAAGGAATTGAACCTTCCTTAATTTCACCTTCTAAATCTACCATAAACGAAAAATTTGCGTGAGTTAACAAAAGTCTTTCTTGATCTACAATTAACTTTATACTTTGGCCCGTTTGATTTTTATCGAATGTTAATAATGATCTATAATTTTCTTTATCTACATCTAAAATTGCATATTCTTTCTTTGAACCAATACAAATGCTATTCTTGCACCATTCTACAGTCATAGCTACATCTGGTAAAACTATTTCTTTATACATTTCAAATACACCAACAAATTCATAAAATGTTAATTTCTTTTTTGTTACAACACAAATTTTATATTCTGGGCTCTTTTTCTTTGAACAAATCGCTATAACACCTTTACTTGTTGGTAATAGTTGCTGATTTGTTGACTCTAGATTGTACATACTTAGAACATCAACATTACCATCTAAAATATTTATTTAATAAAAATTTATTAATATTACTATTATTATTGTTTTTTTATGATTATGATTATATTTATTTTAAACTTACCACACAGTGTTAATAATTTACCAATATCAGACATTAATAATAGCTTTTCAACTGGTTTTTTACCATGATTTAAACTTTTTCTTTTTTCCATTCTACTTTTGAAGGTAATTTTTTTATTGTTTTCGACTCTTTCTATAATATATAAAAATACTTGGCCATCGTTTGTACCCAAATATATATTATTTGCCCAAATTTCGATCGATTCGATTTTAGATGGTACATTATTAACAATAGGAATCAATTCAAATGGATTCATTATACTATTTGATTATTTATTTTTTATTTGTTATTATTATTATTATTATTATTATTGTTGTTTTTATTATTTATATTAATTATTATATCGTTTCAGCTATTGTTTATTGGGGTTGATGTTATTATTTAAAAAACTTTAATATATTAAATAACAATAAATATAAAAAATAAAAAATAAAAAAATATTTCAAAATAAAAAATAAAAATTTTCAAAAAAAAAAAAAAAAAAAAAAAAATGAAAAAAAAATAACAAAAAAAATAAATCAAAAAATATCTAAATTAAGTTTTAATTTAAACCTTTTATTAAACTCTTTCACCCCCTTTTTAAGATTTTAAGAATTTTATAAAATGATCAATTTTTTCTTTTTTTTATTGATACCCTTTTTTAACACTTATATTATATCGAAATTATGTGGATTTAAAAAATAAAAAATTGCTTATTCCTTGGTTTATTTATTTGATTTATATTATTATTATGAATTGATATAATGGTTAGTTATTACTGTGGATATGGATTTGAGGTGGGCAAACATGAGCATGAGTATAACCTAATATTGGGGAGGAAGTATTGTTACTTTGATTGCTATTACTTGAAATTGAGGTATCTGGTGATGATTTAATATTTTCTTCATTTTCTTCATTTTCTTTTTCAATGCATATTTCTTTCCAAATTTCTTGTAATGAAATAAAGGCGCTAACTGAACCTGATAAACCAATGATTAAATCGTTGTCAATTTCGTAAATACTACAAATACATAAACCTAGTTCACCAATAGCACTTATTAGTGATCTAATTTCATTTTTTCTATTTATTTTCAATATTTCTAATTCTTTATTATTATTATTATTATTATTATTATTATCTTTGACGTGTTTTAAAATTGATATTTGAGTTAAAACCAAACCATATACAAGTCTAAATATAAATACCGCTAAACTGTAAATCCAAATGAAATCGCTAAATTTATAAAAAAAGGAATATTTAATTTGAAACAGTTTAATTCTAATAGCCCAAAATCCTATATCGTTTATTTCGGATACAAAACTGAAGAATAAATCGAGTAACTCTAAAATTGTTAAAAATGATTTTTTGATGTTTGTAAATGAGTTTAGCGATTTAACTAGATTTATAATTTTGCTTTTATTGTTACTATAGTTATATATTTCTTTAAAGTTTATTGATTTAAAGTATTCCACTACATTTTTAAATTCTCTAAAAAACCCAAACAAACGAAAGACTGATCTGGCGTCGTACAAAGATGTCTCTAGTGATTTGAGCTTCTCTACTACTATCTTTTCTTTAAAGTATTCTTTATTAATAGATTGATTTCTATTAATTTTATTATTTATGTTTGGTGAAAAAAGTTTATTTTTATTGGTTATTATTATTTTTTTGAATATTATATTGATTATTTTATATATATATTTTTTTTCGACACAATAATATATTATTTTTGAAAAGTATTGAACAAATTTAAATACTTTATCTCTACCATCCAAACTATTAAATAGACTGATTAGTTTATCATTAAATGATAAAATTCTATCCATTCTTATGCATTAATAACTATTATTATTATTATTAGTTTTATTATTATTTTGGTTTTAATGGAGAAATTAAAAAATCTTTAAAAAAAAATATTAAAAAATAAAAAAAATTAAAAAAAAAAAAAATTTTATCATAACAAAAAAAATAATTATTTTTGGATGGTTTTTTAAAAAAATATTTATTTTAGGATTTAATAGTTTGATTTAGGAACTTTGAAAATAACATTGGCCATTGCTACTAATGAACCGTCTTCTTTAATTATTTTTGAATTTGCAAATACTAAAAAATTTGTATTTTTTTCTATTGTAGATATAACTGTAATCTTTTCATTGATTTTAGCTGTAGATATATAACTAACGTTCATATTTACTGTAACCCCAAAATTGAGATTAGATAACTCCAAAGTACTGATATAGCATACTGATGCAAACGAATCTAATAGGAACGCTAGAAATCCTCCATGTGCAAATTGTTTTTCATTTGTAAATTCTTTTTTAATTATTAATTCAACCTCCACATACCCATTTTCGAACTTTTTCATTTGAGCATTTTTAAATATATTGAAACCATAACTTTTATTTTCAATATTTTTTTTTAGATATCTTTTTATTGATTCAATTGTGTGTAATGTATTATTATTTTTACTACTATTATCTATATTATTATTCATTTGTTATTTAAGCTTTATAATATTATGTATGTATGTATTGGGGTAAATATAAATATAAAAATAAAAATAATAAAAATTAAAATTAAAAAAAAAACACATTAAAAAAAATAAAATTAAATAAATTAAAATTTAAATTAAAAGATAAAAAAAATAAATCATATGATTAATTTGGTAAATATTTTTATTAAAATATTATAAACTTGGTTTAGCTATTCTCAAAATAACACTTGCAGTTGAATAAACATTACCCTCTTCGTCCATGATTGAACAATTTGAAAAAGCCATAGATGATGTTTTCTTTTCAATTTTTGCAACAACTCTAATCCTTTTACCCATGGGTAACGGTGTTATTAAAGTGGTATTGATGTTTATAGTAATGGCATAGCTATAATCTTCAAGTGGGTCGGTTGTCTTAAAGCTAAGGACAGATGTGATGTCAAATAAAAAGCACTGAAAGGCCCCATGAATATAAAAACGGCTATAATTAGTATGTTGCTCTGTAGTTAATATTTCCAGCTCTAAATATCCATATTCGACTTTTTTTGTTTTTAGACCTTCAATATTTTTCATGTCAAAACCACCACCTTTTTTTGCCATTAAATGGATAAAATGATCAATAGTAGCGGGATTTTGGCAACTAATGTTAGTATTGTTCATTTTATTTAAAAATTTGATTAATTGAATTATAGAAAAATATTAATTTCTAAAAAATTTTACCCCTTTTTTATACATTTATATTTTTTTTTACTATTAATTTTTATCTTTATATTATTGTTATTATTATTAATTAATCTTTTTTACTTTATTTTTTTTTTAAAACTTATTTTAATCTTTTATTATCTCCTTTTTTTTATTATTATAATTAATAAAAAATACACTATAAAAAATATCTTGTTTAACACTGGTTTTATTTTTTTTAACATCCATTTGTTTACCAAAATCTGTCAAATGATCTATTTTAAAAAATGAAAAAAAAAAAGAATTTTGAAAAAATAGGAAATTTTTTTTTATAAATTTTAATTTTAATTTAAAATTTTTTTTTTTTAAAAAATTTTTTAAAATAATAAATTTTTTTTTTGTTTTTTTTAAATAAAAATTTTATCCAAACAATCCCCTTTATCTTATAAAATTAAAATTGGTTCAATAAATAATAATAATAACAATATTAATTTTAATAGTAATAGACCAATAAAGTTGTAATAGTAATAAATGAAAAATGATTCTTAATAACACCTCATCACCAAGGGAAATTTATGATTGGGTTAAAGAAAATATCGCCGCTATTTCAAAGGAAGAGGAACTAATAAATATAGTAAATAGTAACATTAATGGTGAAATTTTATTTAATCTAACCATTGATGAACTGTCAAAAAAAACAAATATACATAAAGATAAAATTAATTTAATTTTAAAAAGTAATTATCTCTTTGTTTTATAAACCATGTTTCAATTTATTTATTAATATTAATATTTTTATTTTTTATTTTTTAGAAATTAATGACTATAATAGTGTAAATACAAGTTTAAGAGAATCAACATTTGTTGAAATTCAAAATGAAAACTCATCATCATCATCATCATCATCAACAACAACTTCACCATCATCTTCATCACCACCAATCCCAAAATTTATTCAAGATATAATAAATAAAAACAATAACTATGAAAATTATAATGATGATGATAGTGATGGCGAAAATAATAAAAATAAAGAAATTAATATTTTATTACTTGGCAATACAGGAACTGGCAAAACACTATTTATAAATTCATTAATCAACTATTTAAAATATGACAGTTTAAAAGAAATGATTGAAAAGAGTGATAACCAAACACTAGCTACTATACCCACCATTGTATCGATGAGGGACACCAACAATAAACCATTTAACGTTCAATTGGGTTCTGTAGACAATTGTGAAAAAGAGAAGCATCAACAAAGAAAATCCATTACAAGGGTAACTCAAAAGTATAAAATTCAGGTTTATGGTAAAACTATTTGTTTAATAGATACACCTGGTATTGGTGATACCGATGGCATTGAAACCGATAAAAAGAACTTTGAAATGGTTCTATCAGAAATTTCATCGCTCTCTCATTTAAATGCCATCGCAGTGGTTATGAAACCAAATGAAAATAGAATGAATGCTTCGTTCAAATTTTGTCTTCAAGAACTACTCTGCCATTTGCATCAATCTGCTAGAAACAATTTATTTTTCATCTTTACATCCTCAAGAAACACTTTGTTTAGAGCTGGTGAAACTGAACAACTCTTAGAGCTTGTAGTCAATAAAATCAAAGAAAAGAAGGGTATAGAAATAAATTTAAAAGATAGAATGTATTTCTTTGACAATGAATGCTTTAACTATGTAGCTGTAAAACATGAAGGTGGTGTATTTAGCCAGATTGAGGAAAGCACTTACCTCCTAAGTTGGAATCAATCTATTATGTCTCTATCAAAGCTATTAAAGGATATCATTTCAACCAAACCACATGATACCCAAAACACAATCTCAATAAATATGAGCAAGAAACTAATCAAAGAAATTAGCTACTCAATGTCCCAATGCATTCAAAACTCTAATCAAAATATTAAAAAACTAAATGAAAAGAAAAAGGAAATTCAAGATGGTTTAGGTATGGAGTTAGAACAGTTAAGATCAATCTTGTATATGCCATTTGTAAACCTTAAGTCCTATCCACTTGAAGGAAGAAAAATAATTTGTAGAAACCGATCATGTATTCAATTGGAAAAAGAAGTTACAACAAAAGATGGCCAAACAAAGAAATTAGCTTTCTGTACTGACAGTAACAAATTAAATGAACTATATTTTTCAAACAATTTCAATATATTAGGTATCTGTAAAACCTGTTCAAAAAATAATCACACATGCCATTTTACCTCACATCTAAACATTGACACTGTGGAAGAAAGGGAGGAGATTAATGTTAGAGACGAACTTATTAGCTCCCAAATCGAAACTAAAGAAGAGCTTTTGAATGCAGCACATCAAATCATTGGACAATTGGAAAAAAGAAAAGAAACCTATCAACAAGAATTGGAAATATTAGAAAAAGCTTCATTGGATTTCTCATGCTTCCTTTTTGAAAATAGTTTTATCGAAATCAACGATGAAATTGAAGGATACGTTCAAATATTAATTGAAAATGAAAAACTAGCCCTACTTTCAACTAGCCTACCATCGCCATCATCAACATTAACATCCAACCCAATCAAAAATTTAGAATCTTATTTAGAATCCCACAGAAAAGAAGTATCTCAATTTAAAGAAAATTTAAGTAAAATCAATAACCAAACCCATTGTAAAGATGCAGACGAAATTAAACAACTAATTGATAAAATTATGAACTTGGAATTCTCTGGTAAAATAATTACTGAAATTTTAGATTCAAAAAAAATAACAAGTTCTTTTATTTCAAGAAATGAAAATTCAACTATAAAGATTCAACAAACAAGAACCCTTTTTAATTTTTTAAAAGATAGTTTTAATTTTTAAATATTTTAAATTTAAAAATGTTTAAAAAAAAAAAAAAAAAGGTTGTATAGTATAAAATCAAACAATAATTAATTAAATAAATAAATAAATTTTTTTAATTTTCTTAAAACCCAATGAATGAGAAAAAAACAAATTCATATAGTGTTCTTGTAATTTTCTTTGAGAACCGTTGGATATTTGAATTGTTTTTTTTTTTTTTTTTTTTTTTTTTTTTTAATTTTTTTTTTTTGCAAAAGCCCAAAAAAATCATAAAATGTCATCTTATTTTTTTTATTATAATAAAATAAATAAATAAATAAAAATGATTAGTTGCGAAAATGTAAACAATAGTAATAGTGTTTTGGAATATAGATTATTTCAAATAGAAAAAGATCTAAAAGAAATGTCAAAGCTCTATGTAGACTCTTGGAGGGTCTCCTATTGGTTCGTACCAAAAGAGCATTTAGATAAAATGACCTATGAAGAAAGTGAAGAAAAGTGGACTGAATTTGTAAAAGGGAAAGATTCATTTATTTATCTTTGTGTTGGTAATGGTGTAGTTTGTGGCATGGCTGCTGTTAGAAGAGACCCAGAAGAAAATACATTCGAATTATATACACTACATATTTTACATTCACATAAAGGAAAGGGAATTGGTAAAAAGCTAATGAAAACTGTTGCTCAACATTTTATAGATAACCAATCAACACTCAATTGTAAATGTCTATATTTATGGGCAGTACCAATAAACACTCCTGCTGTCAGTCTTTATACAAAATTAGGAGCTACCATTTTAAAATATCAAACTGAATATTTTGCAGGTATTGGATTAGATGAAATTGGTTTACATTGGACTGATTTAAATTTAATTTTAAATAACTAACAATAACCTATAATAACTAAACTAAAATAAAGTAAATAAATCAATAAAATATATATTTTTTTTATTTTTTTTAAAAAATTTGATTAAATTTTATTTTTTTTAAAATTTTTTTTATTTTTTAGGAATCTAAATAATTTATTAATAAATCTAAACAATATAAAAATTGTTTTATTTTATTTAAAAATGGAATATAGATTAATTAATTTTGAAAAGGAATTCGAAGAACTTAGTATTTTATATAAAAATAGCTGGTGTAAAACCTATATTGGTTTGCTCCCCGAAGAGCTATTAGAATCATTTACATACGATAAATCAAAAGAAAAATGGATTCATTTTTATAATAACGAAAAAAACTCTTTTATATATGTAGCCATTGATAAAACAGGTGGCAATGAAGTAATATGTGGATTTGCAGCATGTAAACCAGATGACGAAGAACAAAGCAGGGGATTCCTGTATTCAATTCATATAAAAAGTGAATATAAAGGCAAAGGAATTGGAAAGAATCTTATTATGAAATCTGCAAAGCATTTTAGGGATCAATTAGGTTTAACCAGTATTTCATTACGTGTAGTTGTTGGTAATGATAATGCATACAATGTATATACCAAATTGGGTGCTGAAATATTAAAACATCAAAAAATGAACTATTATAAGAATGTGATTACTCCTGAAGTATGCCTTGTTTGGAATGATATAAACCAACTATTATTAAAATCAAACTAAACTATTAACAAATAAATAAATAGATAATTCCCTTTTTATAAAAAAAAAAAAATAAAAAAAATAAGTTATTTTTTCGTTTTTTATTTTTTTTTAAATTGTTTTTACTTTTTTTTTTTTTTTTTCTCAAAAACTCGAACCTAAAAGCAATATGACAATAGAATACAGATTATTTAAAGAACAGGATATTTCAGAATTATCAATACTATATATCGACTCTTGGTTACGTACCTATAAAAATATTATACCAGATGGATTTTTAGAAACTTTAAATTATGATATGGCAGAAAAGAAATGGATAAAGTTTTTAAAAGAAGAGAAAGATTCATTTGCATATGTAGCAATTGATAAAACCAACGATAAAGAAGTTATTTGTGGATTATCAATTTGTAAAAGAGATGACGAATTAGAATATTCGGGACTATTATATTCACTACATGTCCAAAATGGTTATAAAGGTAAAGGTATTGGTAAAAACCTTATTAAAGTTTCTGCTAAACATTTCAAAGATCATCTAAACTTAAATAGCTTATTATTATGGGTAGTTGATGGTAATGCCAATGCCCTTGCAGTTTATACAAAATTAGGTGCAAAAGTTTTAAAACATCAAATAGAAGTTTATTATAGTAATATAGAAACCCATGAAACATGTCTTATTTGGGAAAATACAGACCAATTATTAAATTGAAAATAAATATAAAAATTAATAAATAAAATTGTATAAATAAAATAAAAATAAAACCAAAAACAATTGAAGATAACTTTTTTTTTTAAGGGGTAATAATTTATTGATTTTATTTGTTATCGGTTTTTATTTGTTTCGCTTATTCTTTCTATACTATTAACTTTATTTTACTATACACTATTTTATTATTTGTTATTATAATTTTGAATTGTTTTAAAAAAAAAGTAAAATTTTTTTGGATCTATAACACATGATGATTATTTACATATATACAAAATTGATTAAAATCATATTAAAATTCTAAATTCTAAGATGTCCAACTGGTTGATATTGGCAATATAATTTCATTTGAAGCTCTTGAATTTGTTTCTTATACTATAAATAATTAAGGTGTGTTAATATATACCATTTAATGTATGAAATACTTTAAGATTTAATATTTACTTGTTCTTCTTTTGAAATAAAACTATCTTTCATTTGACATACTTCTTTTTTAAGATTTGAGAGAGTTGATGAATAATTACAACAAATTAATACCTCTTGTGAATATTGTTGGTTTAAATGTAATACCTGTTCCCTAAGAATTCTAATCTCTTCATCCTTTTTCATTAGCTCCAATGATCTTAACTCCAACTCTCTCTTTATATCTACACTACTACTTAAAGATGTTGTACCGTTCCATCTTTTAAATTTACCACCACTACTTGATAAATTGTTATTTTTATTATTGTTATTATTATTATTATTATTAATATTATCTACATCATTATTATTTACAGAACAATTGTTTGAAATTGTTGGTGAATTAATATTATTCATTATTTATTTCAAATTTATTGTAATATTAATATTATTTATTGTATGGTGGTTTTGTTGGTAGTGCTCAAAGAAAAAAAAAAGAAAAGAAAAAAAATTAAATTTTTTTATCATAAGGAGTTTTTTAAATTTTTTTGATTTTATATTTTCAAATAATATTTTTTTTTTTAATAATAAAAAAATTAAATATAATTTGTGAATTTTTTATATAAAGGTGTCATAAATTATATAATTATAATAAAATCTACTTGATTTGTAAAACATTTAAATTATTGCAACACCCAACACACACAAATTTATTTTTTTTCATTTTTTTTTTTTAATTTTATTTATTTCAATTTTTTTTTTAATTTATTTAAATTTTTTGAAATTAAAATTTTTTTGTTTTTATTATTTTTATTATTTTTTTTATATTTTAAATTTAAAGTTAAATAAATTTAATAAATAAATGTCAAGTACAACAACCGAAATTCCATACCACTTTTTAAAATACATTAGAATTCAATATGATTGGCAATTGGCCTATAAACAAGATTCTGATAATTTTTGGGTATCATACCAAAAAGGTAAAAAAAATAAAATAAAATAAAAAACTAATTATAATAATACTAACATATATTTAATTTTAGATATAAGAAGTACCACACATGGATCTGTTCACAGTTCAAAAAAAAGTGATAACAGTTTTAGTTTTGAATCTGACCAAGGTTTTAAGCTAACACCAAACTCAGTAAGTATAATATGATTCAAACAATAATTTATTTTTATAATTTTTTATTAATATTTATCTTTTAAAAAGAATGATAAAAATAATATTAAAGTAGAAATAGATAATTTCGAATGTGACATTTATTCACCAGAAAAAACTTTAAAGGTATTAGGAGGTAAAAAAAGAATTACAACAATGGGAGTCAGTAATTTAGGTGAATTGGGTGTCTTTGGTAGCACTGATGGCACATTAGAGGTTTTCGAAACCATTGATGGTCAAATAAGAAGAAAATTAGATGGACATGTTGGAGATGTGGATTTAGCATTATTTTTCCCAAGTGGAAAAGTTATATTAAGTGGTGCCTCAGATGGAAGATTAAAGATTTGGGATGCAATTGAAGGTACATGTGCAGCTACACTCATTGGTCATATTGGTGGAATAACTTCTGCATCATTAGTCGACCGTGGTAGAAATTTAGTATCTGGTTCAAGAGATGGAACAAGCAAACTTTGGGATGTAGCCAGTTCATCAGTTATACATAATTTAACAAAACTATCAAGACCCATCAATGATTGTTTTGTTGCCTCATCTCTATTGGAAAGTACAACCAGCTCAACATCTACAAGCAAAAACGTTGATGAAAGAGAATCTGGTACCGAAGGTAAAACTGTTATTTTAGCAGCTGAAGAAGGATTTTTACAAGCCATAGATTTAAGATCGAAAAATATGATTGCCCAAATGAATGTACCAAACGAAAACAATAGATCTGTAGCATTCAATGCCTGTTTTGTTCATAAGAATTATATTATTGGTGGTGACCACAATGGATCATTATTCTTTTGGGATAAAAGAAACTTAAACTCTCCATTCTGCCGTTTACAATTCACCTCTTCACCAATCCATCATATTAAAGCAAACTCCTCACAATCTAAAGTTTCAAACTCAATTTGGACAACAAGTGGCGATGGTTCAGTATTTTTAATTGATTTGGATAAAAACAAAATTATAACCTCTTTATCTGGTATCGATACTGATGTAGTTACATCTTTTAATATTGTAAATAATCAAGCTTTTTCAACCTCAAGAGATTCAATTATTAGATGTTATAATAATTTATCAAATATTTAATAAAAAATTTTATAAAATATAATAATAAAAACCGTCACATTATAAAATACTGTTTAAATTAAATAAATAAATAGTTTGGCATTCATAAAGATATATTTATTAAAACCTTTGTAATATTTAAAAAAAAAATAAAACCGAAAAAAATAAAATATTTTTTAATTTAAATTTTAATACTATTTACAAAGGTTTTTTTATTATTTTTTTTATACATATAAACAATAAAAAGAAAAAGATATGTGTTTTTTTTTTCGCCCAATTAAAAAATTTATTATATTTTTATAATGGAAATTTAGTCAAGCACCTTATTGGATCTTTGATTTGGCAGTAGCTTCTTTTGAGGCAGCTTTTTGACGTTTGGCAATGATGGCACGGGTTGGACCAGATAAAGTGTTACCACCCCAGGTCTTTCTGGCATCAGCGTTATTGTTGAACATTTGTTTGGCTGATTCGACTAATAAAGCTAATTCGTTGGCATCAGTAGCGTTAACACCGGTTAAGGCAACACAAGCAGCGTTTCTCATGTGAACTAATTCACCTAATCTTGATTTTGATTTAACAATACAGTATGGGACATCCATTCTTCTGCAGAGGGCTGGTAAGTATAAGACGAGCTATGGGAGAAAAAAAATATTAATATCGAATTGGTTGGTTTTAAAAGGTTTAAAATTAATTAAACCATTTAGATAGGTATTTGGATTAGACACTATGAGTTTGAGCACAAGTGAATCCGACCTTTAAAGAAAAACAAGACATTTATACTACTTGCTGAATTTTATATTTTACAATAAAATATAAAATAAACAAAAGTAGAAATACTATATCTTTAAAGTGCCTTCAACAATGCAACCATTTATAAATAAATGATTATACATCTAACAGAAATATAATTATAAAATAATTTTTTTAAAAAAAAAATTTTAATAAAAATATTTGCACAGCACTACTAAGAGTATTAAATTAACAAACTCTAACATTTGAATTATTTAATATTTAATTTTTTTTCTATCAATATTAAAAAAACATTTAAAATGTTTCAATATTATTGAAATGATAAAAAATAGTAAGGAGAACCCGTTCCGAACTAAAAAATCATTTAGTAAGCTTAGATGAAATGGACAAACCATACTTTCTAAACCAAACCGAATTCTAAATATTTATATACATAATAATAAGGATACTTACTTCAACTGGGTCAACATCGTGGGCAATGACGACTAATTTGGCTTTCTTCTTTTCAACTAATTTGGTAACAGCATCAATACCGTGTCTTAAGTATTGGACTGGTTTTTCAGCTTTGGCAACTTTTTCACCTTTTGGAGCAGCAGCACGAGCTTCAGCAACTTTTAATAATCTAGCTTTTTTGACTGAGGCTTCTTCTGGTCTGTATTTGTCTAATAATTTGAAGAGGTGGATGGCGGTGTTTTTGTCAAAGACACGAGTGAATTGATTGATGGTTGGTGGAACCTTTAATCTTCTTAATAAGACTCTACGTTGTCTTTGGACACGAACATAACGTGGCCAGTGGACAAAGTGAGTTAAATCTCTTTTTGGTTGAACACCAAAACCAGTACCAAAGTTTTTGGTTTCTTTGGTGTATAAGGCGTTGAATAAGGTTCTAGTTTTTGGTTTCTTTTCACCTTTCTTGACGACTTTCTTTGATTTGTTGGCGGCAACTGGGGCAGCTTTGGCAGCAGCGGCTGGAGCTTTAGTTTGTTTTGAGGACTATAATATTTAAAAAATATTAAGTAAATTAATATTTTATTCTTTTTTTTTTTTTTTTTTTTTTATATGGTATACTTTACCATTATGTTCTTTTAACTTGAGCGTATAAACTAACGAAAAAAAAAAAAAAAATTTGTTTTTATGAGAACCGAAAAAAAAAATTTTCGAAAAAAAATTAAAAAAATTAAAAAAAAATTCGAAAAAAAAAAATAAAAAAAAAAAATCACGTTTTTATATCACGTTACATTAAAAAAGCTTCATTTTATTGTTATTTATAGAAATAAAAATATTTATTATTTTGATTACTAAACAAATAAAAATTATAATTTATTATTTTTATTATTTTTTTTATTTTTTTATTTTTTTTTATTTTTTTTATTTTTTTTATTTTTTGTACAAATTTTAAATATTTTTATATTTTTTAATAAAGTTTTAAATGTTTTGCAACAGCATCAACTTTGGCTTTTGGAGCTGGACCAATAGCAAGAACAGTGGCTGATCCAGATGGAATTTGAGTGTGACCAGCATCTAAAACTAAATAATTTACAACACCTTCTTTTTTAGCTTTATCTCTTAATTCAAATCTATTTTAAAAATTAAAGATAAAATAAAATTAGTGAATATAAAAAAATAAATAATATTATTAAATATGATAATTACAATTCGGCTTCACTATTTGCTTTTAATGTAATTTTAGCAGCACCAAAAACTTCCCATTGTAATAATTCTTTTTTATTTGTACTTAAAGCTTTTTGACGGGCACCTAAAGTTGCATGACAACATTGTGCAATGATTTTACCCTTAGTCATACCTAAATCTGTTCTAATAATTAATACTTGTTTACAATCACCAATTTCTTCGTCATATTCAACACTGCTATAATCAACATCATCTTCTTCAATTAATTTTGAATCACCTCCGTTGATGCCAGTACGTCTAAATAAAAATTTTGCAATAAAAACACCACCAAGTAATGATGCTAATGAAATAAAAATTGGTGAGCTTAACATTTTAAATGACATTTTAAATTTTAATTTACACAGAAAAAAAAAATAAAAAAAATAAAAAAAAACAAAAGAAATTTTTTTTTTTTTTTTTTTTTTCACCTCCTTTTTTTTAAATTTATGTTCACACACAATCATTTTTTTACACATTTTGCATTCACACATAATATACATATTTTTACCCACATCACCCACACAAATATATTTTGTTTTTTACCATTTTTGTTTTATTTTTTATTTTAATATCGAATCTCATAAAAATAAAAATTTATAATATTTATAATTTGTAAAATATTAAATCTTTTTAAAATAAAGAAAAACTCTAAATCTAATATCTTTTTCATTGCAAAAATAATTAATCAAAAATCATATATATTTTACAAATTATTTATTTTTTTTATTTTTTTTAAATAATTTAAATTTAATATCTAAAAATAATAAATTACCACAAGAAATCAAAACTTAAAAATTTTTAAAGACAATGAGATTAGAATTAATCATAAATATAAAAAATTATTATAACATTTAAAAATAATATTAATTATTAATTAATTTAATATTACATCATACATAAATATTACAATAACTATAATATATATTACGTGACAATGACTTTTTTTATTCAATTTAATTAAATTTTTATTAGACACCCCATGTTGATATTATTAAGATACAAGATATTTAAAATTCAATGTACACCCATATATATTTTCACACACCCACAACCACACACATTTTACATATAAATAATTTTTTAAAAAATAAACTTAAAACAATAATTAATTTTTATTTTCATTCATATCCTGATATTGATTTCATTAAAGTGTATGAAAAACAATGATTTAAATAATGTGAGCGGGGGGGTGGAATTCATTCAAATTTATTTTAGTATAAAAATGTGTATGTATTTAATAAACGAGTGGTGTGGGTGTGGTGTGTATGTGTATTGGTAGTGTTGTAGTGTGTGAGTGGGTGTGTGAGTGGGGATTGAATGGTAGGTGGGGTGTTGTTTATTTTTTTTTTATTCTTTCTAAATGAAATATAAAATGGGGACAATAAATTAAAATTAAAAAAATATAAATAAACATTTTTTTATTTTTTTTCATTTTTTTTTTTTTTTAAAAATACATTTATTAAATATATCAAAACATAGTGTTTGGATTCAAGTTTTACCCCACATAAATAAAATATGATTTAGATAGGGAAATTATATAAAAAGAAACTATATTTTTTTAAATAAAATAAAAACTTGATACAAAATTTCCTATGTTACTAATATGGGTTTTGGAATATAATTAAATTAATTTAGCAATACTCCATTGCAAAGTCAATTTGATTTATAGATTCTTAAAACTAAAATAATTTTTTTTTTATAATTTTATTTTATAAAAAGTAAAAATCATTTTTTATTTTAAAATAAAAGAAAAAAAAAAAAAAAAAAAGAATAATTACTTAATAATAATAAAAATAATAATAATAATAATAATAATAATAATAACAATAATAATAAATAGTAATAATAAAGGTATAAGAGATCAAATAATATAATAATAATTAGACAAATAATAATTATAACAGTAATAATTATTATAGAAAATAAATTAATATTTTATTTTTTATAATAATATTATTGTTATATATAAATATTTTTATAATTTAAAATAATAGTAATAATTTACATTGTTTTAATAATTGTATAATATAATAATAGTATATATTTATATTTAATAATAGTAATAGTAATAATTTAATATTATATTTTAAATTAATAATAATATTAAAATTATTTATTTTAAAACTAAAAAAAATTCAAAAAAAAATCAATTAAAAGAATTAAATAAATACTAGAAGAATTAATAAATAATATTTTTTTTACTTCAATAAATATACAAATATATTTCAATAATATATAAATAATTGTTATTTTTTTTTTTTGAAAAAAAAAAAAAAGAAAAAATAATGAAATTTTTAAATTTAATTTTGGTAGTATTTTTACTATCTTTCAATGTTATTAAAACCCATGCAAATGATAATAATGTAGATTTGCAATATGGTATCGACCTTCCATTGACAATTCAACAAAGATACGATGTAGAATTCGAACAAATTAAAAATGGTTATGCCACCATTAAGCCATCTGTAGGACACTACCAAAGAAATCCATTGTCAAAAAATGTAGATTTGGAAATGCAAGGTAATTTCTATCAAATCAATGCAAATGTATATATTGGTGGTCAAAAGTTCATTTTACAAGTCGATACTGGTAGTACTTTAACTGCTATTCCATTAAAAAACTGTAATAATTGTAGAGGTGAAAGACCAGTTTATAATCCAGAAATCTCCAATTCATCCATTTTAATTCGTAAGTTTTATTTTATTAAATATTTTCTTAAATTATAAAATTGTTTTATTAATTTTTTTTTTTTTTTTTTTTTAATAGCATGTTCATCAGACCATTGTTTAGGATCAGGATCAGCTGCACCATCATGCAGATTACACCAAAGCTCAAAATCATCATGTGACTTTGTTATTTTATATGGTGACGGTTCAAAAGTTAGAGGTAAAATATATAGTGATGAAATTACAATGAATGGTGTAAAAAGTATTGGTTTCTTTGGTGCCAATGTAGAAGAAGTTGGTACATTCGAATATCCAAGAGCTGATGGTATTATGGGTTTAGGCAGAACTGGAAACAATAAAAATCTTGTTCCAACTATATTCGAATCAATGGTTAGAGCAAACAGTTCAATGAAAAATGTTTTCGGTATTTATTTAGATTATCAAGGCCAAGGTCACCTTTCATTGGGTAGAATTAATCCAAACTTTTATGTCGGTGAAATTGAATATACACCAGTTGTACAAAACGGACCATTCTATTCAATCAAACCAACTTCATTCCGTATTTCCAACACAAGCTTCCTCGCCAGTAGTTTAGGTCAAGTTATTGTAGATAGTGGTACAAGTGACATCATTTTATCAGGTAAAATCTACGACCATTTAATCGCCTTCTTTAGAAGACACTACTGTCACATCGACATGGTATGTGATCCAATTTCAATTTTCACAGGAAGAGCATGCTTCGAAAGGGAAGAAGATTTCGAATCTTTCCCATGGTTACATTTTGGTTTCTCTGGTGGTGTTAGAATTGCAATTCCACCAAAGAATTATATGATCAAGACTCAATCAACTCAACCAGGTGTATATGGATATTGTTGGGGTATCGATCGTGGTGAAGATATGACCATTCTTGGTGATGTATTTATGCGTGGTTACTATACAATTTTCGACAACGAAGAGAACAGAGTAGGATTTGCCATCGGTAAAAATTCTAAAGAAAATGTAGGTGATATAGATAATACAGATCAATTCGATAAAGGATTTTATAATTCACTCGATGGTGATGAAAACGGTGCTGCCAATAGTAATATTGGTGGTTCGATATCATCAATATTATTAATAATTTTAGTTTTAAATTTATTATTAATAGTTTAAAAATAAAATAACATATAATATATAATATAATATAAATAGTAGTAGTATTAATATTAACCTTATTTTATTTTCATTTTTTTTTATTATTCCTCCTCCTTTATTTGCATTTCATTTTTTACTATTCTTTCCTTTAATCTATCACTTTAGAAACACTAAAACCTATCAAATATTATTTATTTATTTATTTATTTATTAAAACAATTGTATTTATTTAAAAAAAAAAGAAAAAAAAAAAAAAAATAAAAATGACTATTATTAAAATTATTTTATATTTTTATATATTATATATATATAAAAATATTTTGTTTTGTTTATTTATTTATTTATTTATTTATTATTTGTTTATTTATTTACAAAGATATTATTTAAAATCCTATTTTAAATAATTTGGTTTTAATGTTGAACTTGGTATTAAATAGTTTTGTTGTAACCAATTATTGTTTAAATTAAAGTTATTTAAATTCATTCTATTTAAAAAGCTATTATTATTATTGACATTATTATTTTGAATAAAATTATTCATATTTGGATTATTGTTGATATTATTATTATTATTATTGTTGCTATTGGTTCCAGGGGTGCTGGTATTAGTATTGTTGTTGTTATTTGGTTGTTGGTTTCTATATTCTGTTTCTTCATTAACAATCTGATTCGCTACACTTGATAATGGTAAAAAGAATATAAAAAAGTATATTAAAAATTGACCTAAAATTGCCCCAATGATAATTTTCTAAAGTAAATAAAAAGTTGTTAATATGTATTGAGAATTTCAAATATAATATCTTTTTACACTTACTTTATTGTGAATTACGGTCACTTCGATTAGTGATGATATTATAAAGTTTAATAAATTAAAATGTGATATTAGATAACCAAATATTACCGAAATAATAATTGTAATTGAAGAAGAAATCATATTTTATGATATTTTTTCCCAAATCTCATAGATTGGTTAATTTAATAATAATTTTTATTATTCAATATGAAAAATTTAAAAAAAAACAATAAAATTTATGAATTTTAAAAAAATAAAAAAAATAAAAAAAAAATAAAAAAAAATAGAAAAAAAATAAAAAAAAATTAAATTTTAATTATATTTTTAAAAAAATACAAACAAATTAATGTGTTTGTTTTTTTTTATATTTAGTTAAATAGGGTTTATTTAATACAATAATATTATTTATAGATACATTTTATATATTTAGATTAAAGGAAAAGGATTATATCAGAAATATAAATTCTTTTATAGAATGTGCAATTGCAACTCTGACACTTTCAGACATTTTAAATTAAATATTAATAAATAATTTTTTTTTTTCTTTTTTTTTTTTTTTAAAAACTTTTGTGTTTTTAAAATTTTTTTTTTTTATTTTTAATATTTCCCATCATCTTGAAACACACATATTTATATATATATATTTAATATTTATATTTATTTATTATTTATTATTTATATATTTATTAAAATGGAAAAAGATATTATAGATGAAGATATAAATAAAATAAACAAAGATAATAATAACATTAATAAAAATACTACAACAACTACAACTACAAAGAAACATGAACAAATAAAAAATACTAATAAATCATCAGATGAGGATTCTGAAGATTCAAATGATAGTGGTGGTGAAAAAAAAAAAAAGGGTAAAAAGAAGAAAGAGAAAAAAAGATTAAGAAAGTTAGTAGAACAACAACAATTACGAATTGAACAGTTAGAACAAGAAAAACTGAACAACAATTGTTAATTCAGAGAGAACAACTTTAGATATAAGTAATAAAAACAATAGTAATAATAATAATAATAATATTAATACACCACCAACAAATAATCTTGGTTCAATAATTTCAGAAAATGATCTTAATTGGCTGGATAATAACATTAACAAGAATAATCAAAATAATAATCAAGGCAATAATTTAATAAATAATAACAGTGTTGGATCAGTCGGTAGTAACTCACTATTACTACCACCTCCACCACAAAAGGTTGTGCAAAATATCAAACCAAAGAAAGGTAGCGTCTATGATAATGAAATTCAAGCATTAACCAAAAGAAGAGCCAATAGCGCAAGTTCCAATGGAGGTAAAAATTACAGTAGTTCTAATGACGACTCTGGTAATAATAAAAAACAAAAAAAAACCACATTTGACAAGAATGCAGGTGGTGGTATTGGCGGCAATAACAGTGATAATGAAGGTGGTAAAAAAAAGAAAAAGAATTTATCAGCAATTGCAGCAGCAGAGGGTAAAAAGATTCCAGTATGGAGAAAGGTATTAAGTGACGACTCAAAATTATTCTCAAACGAAAGAACATGGATGAGTTGGGTTGGAACAACATTCTCTTTAGGCGCCATTGGTACATCAATTATTACTTTTTTTGGTACAGAATCGTTATCTCTATCAC